GATTGGTACCAATTCTTCTTTGAAGGTCAGGTAGAATTCTGCCGTGAATCCATCTGTTCCAGGACTTTTTTGGTTGGTAATTTTAAATTGCCATTTCAATCTCATTGTTTGTTATTGGTCTGTTCAGGGTATCTAATTCTTCCTGATTTAAGCTAGAAGGGTTGCATTTTTCCAGGAATTTATCCATTTCTTCTAGATTTTCTAGTTTATGTGCATAAACATGTTCACAGTAGCCTTGAATGATATTTTGTATTTCAGTGATGTCATTGTAATACCCTCTGTTTCTTTTCTTAATGAGGTTATTTGGATTTTCTCTCTTTTCTTGGTTAATCTTGCTAATAGTCTATCAATTTTACTTATATTTTCAAAGAACCAGCTTTTTTTTTGTTTCATTTATCTTTGTATTTTTTTGTTTGTTTCTTTCAATTTCATTTAGTTCTGCCCTGATCTTGGTTATTTCCTTTCTTCTGCTGAGTTTGGGTTTGGTTTGTTCTTGTTTCTTTAGTTCCTTGAGGTGTGACCTTAGAGTGTAGAGTGTCAGTTTGTGCTTTATTAATCTTTTTCATGCAGGCACTGAGGGCTATGAACTTTCCTTTTAGCACTGCCTTTGCTGTATCCCAGAGGTTTTGATGGCTTGAGTCATTATTTTAATTCAGTTTGAAGAATTTCTTAATTTCTATCTTGATTTTGTTTTTGACTTAATGCTCATTCAGGAGCAGGTTATTTACTTTCCATGTATTTGCATGGTCTTGATGCTTACTTTTGGAATTGATTTTCAGTTTTATTCCACTGTGATATGAGAGAGTGCTTGATATAATTTCAATTTTCTTAAATTTATTGACGCTCATTTTATGGCCTATCATATGATCTACCTTGGAGAAAGTTCCATGCACTGTTGAATAGAATGTGTATTCTGCAGCTATTGGATGAAATGTTCTGTATATATCTGTTAAGTCCATTTGTTCCAAAGTATAGTTTAAGTCCATTGTTTCTTTGTTGACTTTTTGTCTTGAAGACCTGTCTAGTACTGTCAGTGGAGTACTAAAGTTTCTCACTATTATTGTGTTACTGTCTACCTCATTTCTTAGGTCTATTAGTAATTGTTTTATATATTTGGGAACTCCAGTGTTAGGTGCATATATGTTTAGGACTGTGATATTTTCCTGTTGGATAAGGCCTTTGATCACTATATAATGTCCATCTTTGTCTCTTTTAACTTTTGTTGCTTTAAAATGTATTTTGTCTGATATAAGAATAGCTGCTCCTGCTTGCTTTTGGCATCCATATGCGTGAAATGCCATTTTCCACCCCTTTACTTTAAGTTTATGTGAGTCCTTACATATTAGATGAGTCTCCTGAAGGCAGCAGATACTTGGTTGGTGAGTTCTTATCCATTCAGCAGTTCTGTATCTTTTAAGTGGAGCATTTAGACCATTTATGTTTGATGTTAATATTGAGGTGTGAGGTACCATTGCATTCATTATGCTATTTGTTGCTTCAGCACTTTGATTTTTAGAATTTTTGTTTTTGCCTTTTAATTTGTATTTTTGTTTTATAGATCTTGTGTGATTTACACTTTAAAGTGGTTCTGTTTTGATGTGTTTCCAGAATTTGTTTCAAGATTTAGAGCTCCTTTTAGCAGTTCTTATAGTCATAGCTTGGTAGCAGCAAATTCTCTCAGCATTTGTTTGTCTGAAAAAGACTGTATCATTCCTTTATTGTTCCTTCATATATGATGGATTAGTTTTGCTGGATACAAAATTATTGGCTGATCATTGTTTTGTTTAAGGAGCCTGAAGATAGGACCCCAAACCCTCCTAGATTGTAGGGTTTCTGCTGAGAAATTTGTGGTTAATCTGATAAGTTTTCCTTTATAGGTTACCTGGTGTTTCTGTCTCACAGCTCTTAAGATTCTTTCCTTCATCTTAGTTTTGGATAACCTGATGACAATGTGCCTAGACAATAATCTTGTTGCAAATAATTTTCCAGGTGGTCTTTGTGCTACTTGTATTTCGATGTCTAGGTCTCTAGCAAGGCCGAAGTTTTCCTCAATTATTCCCCTAAATACATTTTCCAAGCTTTTAGAATTCTCTTCTCCCTAGGAACACCAATTATTCTTAGGTTTGGTCATTTAACATAATCCCAGACTTCTTTGAGACTTTGTTCAGATTTTCTTATTCGTTTTTCTTTGTCTTTGTTGGATTGGAGTAATTAAAAGACCTTGTCTTTCAGCACTAAATTTCTTTTTCTACTTGTTTAATTCTATTGCTGATATTGCTGAGATGTTCCAGAGCATTTTGCATTTTTTTCTTTTTTTTTTTCTTTTTTGTTTTCTTTAGATGGAGTCTTGCTCTGTTGCCATGTTGGACTCCAGCGGTGCCATTTCAGCTCACCACAACCTTTGCCTCCTGGGTTCAAGCAATTCTCCTGCCTTAGCCTCCCAAGTAGCTGGAACTACAGGCACGTGCCACCATGCCTGGCTAATTTTTGTATTTTAAATAAAGATAGGGTTTCACTATATTGGCCAGGCTGGTCTCGAATTCCTGACCTCAGGTGATCCAACTGCCTCAGCCTCCCAAAGTGCTGGGATTACAGGCATGAGCCACCATGCCCAGCTAGCATTTTGCAATTCATAAGTATGTCCAATGTTTCCTGAATTTTGATTTTTTCTTTCTTTATCTATTTCCTTGAATATTTCTCCCTTCACTTTTTGTATTGTTTTTTGGATTTCCTTGCATTGGGCTTTGCCGTTTGCTGGTTCCTCCCTGATTAGCTTAATAACTAACCTCTCAAATTCTTTTTCAGGTAAATCAGGGATTTCTTATTGGTTTGGATCCATTGAAGGTGAACTAGTGTGATTTTTTTCGAGAGGTGTTAAGAAGCCCTGTTTTGTCATATTACCAGAGTTGGTTTTCTGGTTCCTTCTCATTTGGGCAGGCTCTGTTAGAGGGAAGATCTAGGGCTGAAGGTTACTGTTCAGATTCTTTTGTTCCATGGGGTGTTCCCTTGAAGTTGTACTCTCCCCCTTTTCCTATGGATGTGGCTTGCTGTGAGCCAAACTACAGTGATTGTTGTTTCTCTTCTGGGGCTAGCCACTCAGCAAGTCTACCCAGCTCTGGGCTTATACTAGAGGGTATCTGTGCAGTCGCCTGTGATGTGAGCCGTCTATGGGTCTCAGCCCATATGGTATATCCTTATACCAGCATCTCTTCTGGTGAAGGTGACAAGGGTGTACAATGGACTCCATTAGTGTTCTTAACTTTGGTGGTTTAATGCTCTATTTTTGTGCTGATTGCCTCCTGCCAAGAGGTGGTGCTTTCCAGAGAGCATCAGCTGTGATAGTATGGAGAGAAACTGGTAGTGGGTGGGGCCCTAGAACTCCCAAGATTATATGCCCTTCATCTTTAGTTGTGGCTGGGGGTAGGAAAGGACCATCAGGTGGAGGCAAAGTTAGGCATGTCTGAGCTCAGACTTTCCTTGGGTGGAAGTCTTGCTGCAGCTGCTGTGGGAGATGGGGGTGAGGTTCCCAGGTCAATGGAGTTGTGTACCTAGGAGGATTATGGCTGCCTCTACTGAGTCATGTAAGTTGCTAGGGAAGTGGGGGAAAGCCGGCAACCACAGGTTTCATCTAGCTCCCATGCAAACCGAAGGGCCAGTCTCACTCCCACCGTGCCCATGTAACAGCCTTGAGTCTTTTTCCAGGTGGTGGGCGAGCCAGGCTTGAGGATTTATCCCAGGCTACCCACCTCCCAGCTATGGAAAAAAAAAAAAGGCTTAGTTCTTCCCACACCCGTGGAGTCTGCACACTGGATTCGCACCCTCCCCTGAGTTCTGGCCATGAGGCTTATATGTTAAGCTGGAGATTTCTTTCTCCCTGTGGTGTTTTCTCCTCTGCTCCTCAGGCTGCCTTCCTGATGGATCCCTGTGGTGCCAGGCAGGAATGGCCTCGTCACTCTAAATTGACTCAGTTCTAAGTAAGGTCGGAAACTTCTCCTGCAAACAGACCTTCAGTTTCTCCAGTGGGGGTGTGTCTTTAGGAAAGGGGGCTCTCCCTCTCCCACTTCCAGCTGGGACATTCACAGTATTTGGGGTGTCTTCTGTGTCCTGCAGGAGCAGTCGGCTTTCTTATGAAGGTCTGTGAGTCCTCTCGGGATTGCTGGTTTGTTCTTACAGTCGATCTGGAGCTATGATTCACAATGTGAGCCTCCGCATGCTGTTTTGTCCATCCAAGTCAGAGCTCCAACCTAGTCCTGCTTCCTATCTGCCATGAGGATGCTTGATTCTATACTCCTTGATAATAAATTCAGTCTAGTATGGCTACTCTTAGCATCACGTTTCAAGTCTTCATTTTATTATTATTAATTAATTAGCAAACATTCATTAAATGCCTAATATTTTAAGGCACTGGAATACAAAGATCAATATAACCCCAATCCTTCTGCCTTTAAATTTTTTATTGTCAATGTAAGGTAATATGTATCAACCTATGAAAGGTTATGAGAACATGGAGAAAAGAAAAAATATTTACTCAAAAAATATTTATTTAAAAAATGAATGAACTGATCTATATTTCTCATTTTAATTAGAATATTCAATCAGGCAGGCAAGTGCCTGAGTGAAATTTCATTGTGTTTAATCACAATATAGACTATATAATGGCTCCTTATAATAACCTTGGGGAAATTAATACATCTCTCTATTCTTTATTATTTTTTTTAAATTTCTCTTTAGGTTCTAGGGTACATGTGCAGGTCATACAGGGTTGCTGCATAGGTGCATACATAACCAGGTGGTTTGCTGCCTCTATTCCGCCTTCATCTATATCTGGCATTTCTCCCCATGTTATCCCTCCCCATCCACCCCACTCCCTGCTGTCCTTCCCTTAGCTCCCCCTCCACTGCTCCCAGTGTGTGATGCTCCTCTCCCTGAGTACATGTGTTCTCATTATTCAACAACACCGCCTGTAAGTGAGAACATGCAGTATTTGATTTTCTGTTTTTGTGTCAGTTTGCTGAGAATGATGGTTTCCAGGTTCATCCAAGTCCCTACAAAGGACACAAACTCATCATTTTTATGGCTGCGTAGTGTTCCATGGTGTACCACATTTTCTTTGTCCACTCTATCATTGATAGGCATTTGGGTGGATTCCAGGTCTTTGCTATTGTACATAGGGCTGCAATGAACATATGTGTACATGTGTCTTTATAATAGAATGATTTATAGTCCTTTGGGTATATACCCAGTAATGGGATTGCTGGGTCAAATGGAATTTCTATTTCTAGATCCTTTAGAAATCACCACACTGTCTTCCACAATGATTGAACTAATTTACACTTCCACCAACAGTGTAAAAGTGTTCCTATTTCTCCACATCCTCTCCAGCATCTGTTTTCTCCAGATTTTTTAATGATCACCATTCTATCTGGTGTGAGATGATAACTCAATGTGGTTTTGATTTGCATTTCTCTAATGATCAGTGATGATGAGCATTTTTTATATGTTTCTTGGCCTCAGATATGTCTTCTTTTGAAAACTGTCTGTTCATATCCTTCGCCCACTTTTGAATGGGTTCGTTTATTTCTTGTATATCTGTTTTAGTTCTTTGAAGACTCTGGATATTAGCCCATAGTCAGATGGGTAGATGGCAAAATTTTTTCCCCATTCTGTTGCTTGTCAGTTCACTCTAATGATTGTTTCTTTTGCTGTACAGAAGTTCTGAAGTTTAATTATACCCCATTTATCCATTGTGGCTTTTGTTGTCATTGCTTTTGGTGTTTTAGTGATTAAGTCCTTGCCTATGTCTATATCCTGGATGGCTTTGCCTACATTTTCTTCTAGATTTTTTATGGTGTTAGGTTTTATGTTTAAATCTTTAATCCATCTGGAGTTAATTTCAGTGTAAGGTGTCAGTAAGGGATCTGCTTTCTGCACATTGCTAGCCAGTTTTCCCAACAACATTTATTAAACATGGAGTACTTTCTCTATTGCTTGTTTTTGTCAGGTTTGTCAAAGATCAGATGGTTGTAGTTATGCAGTGATGCTTCCGAGGCCTCTGTTCTGTTCCATTGGTCTATGTCTCTCTTCTGGTACCAGCACCATGCTATTTTGATTACTGTTGCTTCATAGTATAGTTTGAAGTCTGGCAGTGTGATGTCTCCAGCTTTGTTGTTGTTGCTTAGGATTGCTTTGGCTATGCAGGCTCTTTTTTGGTTCCATATGAATTTTAAAGTGTTTTTTTCCAGTTCTGTGAAGAAGGTCATTGGTAGCTTGATGGGGATAGCGTTGAGTCTATAAATTACTTTGGGCAGGATGGCCATTTTCACAATATTGATTCTTCCTAACCAGAGCATGGAATGTTTTCCCACTTGTTTGTGTACTCTCTTATTTTGTTGAGCAGTGGTTTGTAGTTCTCCTTGAAGAGGTCCTTTACATCATTTTGAGTTGTATTCCTAGGTATTTTATTCTCTTTGTAGCAATTGTGAATGGCAATTTATTCTTCATTTGGCTCTCTTTAAGTCTGTTATTAGTATATAGGAATGCTTGTGATTGCTGCACGTTGATTTTGTATCCTGAGACTTTGCTGAAGTTGCTTATTAGTTTCAGGAGATTTTGGGCTGAGATGATGGGGTCTTGTAAATATATAATCATGTTGTCTGCAAACGGAGACAATTTTGACTTCTTCTTTTCCTAATTGGATACACTTTATTTCTTTTTCTTGCCTGATTGCTCTGGCTAGAACTTCCAATACTATACCGAATAGGGGTGGTGAGAGAGGGCTTCCTTGTCTAGTGCCAGATTTCAAAGGGAATGCTTCCAGTTTTTGCCCATTCAGTATGATATTGGCTTTAGGTTTGTCATAAATAGCTTTTATTATTTTATGATACGTTCCATTGATACCTAGTTTATTGAGAGTTTTTAGCATGAAGGGCTGTTGAATTTTGTCAAAGGCCTTCTCTGCATCTATTGAGATAATCATGTGGTTTTTGTCCTTGGTTCTGTTTATGTGATGGATTACATTTATGGACTTGTATATGTTGAACCAGCCTTGCATCCCCAGGATGAAGCCTACTTGATTGTGATGAATAAGCTTTTTGATGTGCTGTTGCATTCCGTTTGCCAGTATTTTATTGAAGATTTTTGTGTTGATGTTCATCATGGATATTGGTCTGAAGTTTTCTTTTTTAGTTGAGTCTCTGCCTGGTTTTGGTATCAGGGTGATGTTGGTCTCATAGAATGAGTTAGGGAGGATTCCCTCCTTTTGTAGTTTGGTATAGTTTCAGAAGGAATGGAACCAGCTCCTCTTTGTATGTCTGGGAGAATTTGGCTGTGAACATGTCTGGACCTGGACTTTTTATGGTTGGTAGGCTATTGACTGCTGCCTCAACTTCAGCCTTTGTTATTGGTCTATTTAGGTTTTCAACTTCTTCCTGGTTATTCTTCGTAGAGTCCAAGTGTCCTGAAATTTATCTGTTTCTTTCAGGTTTACTGGTTTATGTAGGTAGAGCTCTTTGTAGTAATCTCTGATAGTAGTTTGTATTTCTGCGGAATCAGTGGTGATATCCCCTTTATCATTTTTTATTGCATCTATTTGATTCTTCTCTCTTTTGTTAGTCTGGCTAGCAGTCTGTCTATTTTTTTTTTTTTTTGATCTTTTCAAAAATCAAGCTCCTGGATTTATTGATTTTTTGAAGGGCTTTTTTGTGTCTCTATCTCCTTGAGTTTGGCTCTGATCTTAATTATTTCTTGTCTTCTGCTAGCTTTTGACTCCCACACAATAATAGTAGGAGACTTCAACACTCTACTGTCAATATTAGACCGATCAACGAGACAGACAATTAAAAAGGATATCCAGGACTTGAATGCAGAGCTGGACCAAGCAGACCTAACAGACATATACAGAACGCTCCACCCTAAATCCATAGAATATACATTCTTCCCAGCACCACATCCCACTTACTCTAAAACTGCCCACATAACTGGAAGCAAATCACTCCTCAGCAAATGCAAAAAAAACAGAAATCATAAAAAACAGTCTATCAGACTACAGCGCTAATCTAATCTAATCTATTCTCAGATTAGAACTCAGGATTAAGAAACTCACTCAAATCCACACAATTCCTTGGAAACTGAACAACTTGCTTCTGAGTGTCGACTGGATAAACAATGAAATGAAGGCAGAAATAAAGATAATCTTTGAAACCAATCAGAATGAAGACACAACTTACCAGAATCTCTGGGACACCTTTAAAGCAGTGTCGAGAGGGAAATTTACAGCAATAAATGCCCACATGAGAACAAGGAAAGATCTAAAACCAATACCCTATCATCAAAATTGAAAGAGCTAGAGGAGCAAAAGCAAAAAAACTTTCTATTCTTTAGTACTATCTATTCCTATAATGTGAACTCCATCATCATATCCTATGTCATGATGAAACATCCTGAAGTCACAGAAAACCAGGACTCCCAATGGTGGATAGGGAGAATACTCTGCATATTTCTTATAAGAAAATGACAAAAGTTCACATATTATGAGAAAAAAATTCAATGCTATTTCAAATTTCTAGGGTAGTATATAATAGTTTAATTTTTTTCTTAGTACTATATCCCCCAATAACATTTCCCTAGATGTCTAATGTATCTTCTTCCATCCTCCAGCACCTCAGTGATAGTTGGAATAGATAAGTACAAGCAGCTAATGTAGTTCAGCAAAAAGACCCCAGAGATCCTATTTTATATTAAGTTATCACCACCAACTTATTCCTACCTATATCAGAAAGAATAGTATACTCTGTACTATGAAAGTAAAAGACTTCATTTTCAATTTGGGAAAAAAATGCACATTGTATGCATAATTGTTTTTGAAAAGAGACTTGTTCCCTTTTAAACACTTCTATATTATTATGTATAATGTTTATAATTAAAATTTAAATTTTCTTCTCACACATTTTGACTGAGCATGGTGGGTCATGCCCATAATCCCAGCACTTTAGGAGACTGAGGTGGGAGGATCCCTTGAAGTGGAAGTATCAGCCAGACTAGGCAACATAGTGAGATCTCATCTCTTCAGAAAATTTGAAAACCTTATCTGGGTGTGATGATGTAATCCCATCTACTCAGGAAGCTGAGGGGAGAGGATTGTTTGAGGCCAGGAGTTCCAGGCAGCAGTGAGGTATGATTACCCCACTTCACTTCAGCCTGGGTGACAAAGCGAGATCCTGTCTACAAACACACACATGTGCACACGCGTACACACACACACACACACACACACATAAATATACACAGACAGTCTCAGAGCTAAGACACAAAGAGCCAGGATTTAAATCCAGGAGGTCCAGACTACAAAGACCACGGTTTTTCTAATTCATCACAATGCTCCAACAGTGCTATGCAGAGAAGTTCCTATAAATAAGATTTCTTCCATGCCAAAGACAGATTACTCTGTAGGACAAGCAATCATCAGCAAAGAGTTTGAGTTTCTGAGGAAGAGCCTTGAAAATGCAAATGCACTTTTTTAAGTGAGCACACATAAAAGTTTTTAAAATTTTAGCTTCGGTCTCAGAGACATAATAATAAAACAGTTGAAACCATCATGTTTTTAGCTTACTAAACAAATTTTGACTTTCCATTTGCAAATAGATCAAGCCTTATTAGTGATGTTTTTAAGACACTCCAGACACCAAGGGTTTTTAATAACAATATATTTTTAAGAAACCATGTTTGAGAGGAGGCAGAGAAAGAGAAAAATAGAAGGCTCCATCAATTGTCCCTCCTACAAGGACACCAGTTTAACAACTATCTGCACACACAAAAAGACACATTCATAGGAACCAAAAATCAGGTGAACCCTCATAGCATCTGGTTTTAACTTCATATTCTTCAAAGAGGCACTGAAGAAATAGAAAAAACAGTCTTGACTCATTGACACCACTACTACCTCATACCCTGGTGGCAGCAGCATAATTCAGAGAGTGTCTCTGGGCGCTGGGGAAGGAAGAACACAGCAATGATGAGACATTGAACTCAGGGCTGTTCTCTTAGCATAGAAAGGAAAACTGGACCAAACTCAGCTGAAACTCACCCATGGAGGTTTAACCCAGCCCTAACCAGAGAAGAATAACTGTTCCCAGTGGTCCCAACTTGAGTTCTTGCAAACCTCACCACCAAGGGCTAAAGTGGTCTGGGTCTCTAAGTAAACATAAAAGGCAGTCTAGGCCATAAGGTCTGCCACTTCTAGGTGAGTCCTTTTGCTACCCAGAGACAGTGAATTGGGGAAGGATATGACATACTGAGATATCAGTTGGGATGGCAATGGGAGAGCTGGTATCACCTGTCCCCTAACCCAAGGCTGCAAAGTTCATAGCTCCAAAAGAGACCCCTTCCTTATGCTTGAGAAGAAAAGATAGAAGAGTGGGGAAGACTTTGTCTTGCATATTAAATACCAGCTCTACCACAGTATGATAGGGCACCAGTTAGAGTAGTGAGGCCTTGTTCCAGGCACTAGCTCCAGGACATTTCCAGTCAGACCCTGGACCAGAGAAGAAGCTTCTACCTTAAAGCAAAAAACTCAGTCATAGCAACATTTATTACCCGCTAACAGAAGAGCCCTTGGACCCTGAATAACCAGCAGTGATACCCACATAGTACCTCAAGGGCTGTGGGTGAGCCATAGACTTGCTGGCTTCAGGTGAGACCTAGCACATTACCACTTGTGGCAGCTATGGAAAAAAACTCCTTCTTGAGAAAAGTAGAGAAAAAAGTAAAGGAGACTTTGCCTTGAACCTTAGGTACCAGCATGGCCACAGTGGGGCAGAACACCAAGCTGGCTTTTGGGTTCCCTGATTTTTTTTTTTTAGATGGAGTCTCACTGTCACCAGGCTGGTGTGCAGTGGTGCAATCCTGGCTCACTGCAACTTCTCCCTGCCAGGTTCAAGCAATTCTCCTGCCTCAGCCCCTCAAATAACTGGGACTACATGTGCATGCCACCATGCCCAGCTAATTTTTGTATTTTTCGTAGAGACAAGGTTTCATCATGTTGCCCAGGATGCTATTAATCTCTTGACCTCGTGATTTGTCTGTCTAGGCCTCCCAAAGTGCTGGGATTACAGGCATGAGCCACTACACCTCACTGGGATCCCTGATTCTAAAACTTGACACTTGTACAGCACCTCTGGACTTGCCATGGGCCAGCAAGGAGCCTAGTATCATAAAGGATAAGTTGCAGGCCAAGCAACATTCACCAAAAACTGACTTAAGAGCTCTTGAACCTTAAGGGAACATCAACAGTATTCTGGTAGTACTCTTCATGGCCTATGGTGGCAGTGGCTACAGGGTAAGGGTCATCTTTTAGAAAAAGGAAAAAAAAGTGGGAAATGCTGTGTCTTATGACTTGAGTGCCAGTTCAGCTACAGTATAGTAGAAAACCAGGTAGACTTCTAAGGTATTTGACTCTAGTCCCTGACTCCTGGGCAGTACCTCTGGACCCTCCTGGGGTCTGGGAGCAATTGCCTCCCTGAAGGGAAAAAAACTGGCCTGGCTGGCTTTGCCACATGCTGACTGTAGAGCCCCAGAGCCTTGAGTGAACATTGGCAGTATCCAAGGAGTGGTTACACTAGGCCTTGGGTGAGACTGAGTGCTGTGATGGCTTCAGGTTTAATCCAGCACAGCCCTAGTTGTGGTAACCACATGGGTTTTTGCGTCATGTCACCTCTAATTCCAGGAGGTTCAGAACAAAAAGATACTGTTTGTTTTGGAAGAATGTAAGGGAAAAGAATAGGAATCCCTCCCTGGTAAACCACAGAATTCTCCTGGATCTTGCACAAGACTATCAAGGCAGTACCTCTATGAGTGTGCAAGAACCACAGCATATTAGGCTTGGGGTGTCATCTAAAGCAGATGTAGCTTAAATCATGGGATGGTTAATATTGTCAACTTGATTGAAGGATGCAAAGTATTGTTTCTGGGTGTGTCTGTGTGGGTCTTCCCAGAGAAGATTAACATTTTAGTCAGTGGACTGAAAGAGGCAGATCTACTCTCAATCTTGGTGAAAACCATCCAACTGGCTGCCAGTACAGCTAGAAAAAGCAGGTGGAAGAAAGTGACTTTCTCAGACTTCTGACTTTCATCCTTCTCCTGTGCTGGAGGCTTCCTGCCTTTGAACATCAGACTCCAGGTTCTTTGGCTTTTGGACTCTCGAACTTACCCAGTGGTTTGCCAGGGGCTCTTAAGCCTTCAGTGACAGACTGAAGGCTACACTGTTGGCTTCCCTACTTTTGAGGTTTTGGGACTTGGACTGAGCTACTACTGGCTTCCTTGCTCCTCAGCTTGCAGAGAGCCTATCAAGAAACTTCACCTTGTGATGGAGTTTGTCAACTCTCATTAATAAACTCCCTTTCATATATACATGTATCCTATTAGTTCTGTTTCTCTGAAGAACCCCAATACAGATCACAACACCCAAGTTCTTTCAGATATCTTGAAAGCTTTCCCAAGGAGGACAAGTACAAACAAACCTAAACAGAGAAGTCTGCAATAAATAACTGCCTCTTCAATGCCCAGACACCAAAAACATCTACCAGCATCAGCACCATTCAGAAAAACATGACCTCATCAAATGTACTCAGTAAAGTACAAGGGACCAATACTAGAGAAACAATATGTTACCTATCAGATCATTCAAAATAGCTGTGTTGAGAAAATGCAAACGAATCCAAGATAACATGGAGAAAAAGATTCAGAACTCTATCAGGTAATTTAATAAAGAGATTGAGATAATTTAAAAAGAATCAAACAGAATTTCTGGATATGAAAATTGCAATTGATATACTGAAGAATGCATAAGTCTTTTAATACCAGAAGTGATCAAGCAAAAGAAAAAAAAAATAGTGACCCTGAAAACAGGCTATTTAAAATAAACAGTCAGAGTATTTTTAAAAAGACAAAAAGCAATGAAGTAAACCTACAGAATCTAGAAAGTAGCCTTATAAGGGCAAATCTAAAACTTATTGGCCTCAAAGAGAAGACAGAGAAAGAGATATGGGCAGAAAATTTATTCAAAGAGATAATAACAAGAACTTCCAAAACCTAGAGAAAGACATCAATAACCACGTATAGGAAGGTTATGCAACACCAAGCTGACTTAAGCCAAATAATCAAACTATTTAATAATCAATCTCACAAAGTTCAATGATAAAGAAAGAAGCCTAAAAGCTGTAAGAAACAAGAAACGAGTAATATAAAATGGAGCTCCAATATGTCTGCCAGCAGACTTTTCAATGGAAATCTTACAAATGAGGAGAGACTCATATGATCTATCTAAGGTTTTGAAGGAAAAATGTCTTTTTTTTTAAATACATATATTTTATTGCATTTTAGGTTTGGGGGTACATGTGAAGAACGTGCAAGATTGTTGCATAGGTACATACATGGCAATGTGGTTTGCTGCCTTCCTCCCTATCGCCTATATCTGGCATTTCTTCCCATGTTATCCCTCCCCAACTCTCCACCCCCTGCTGTCCCTCCCCTAGTTCCCCCTGACAGACCCCAGTGTGTGATGCTCCCCTCCCTGTGTTCTCAGTGTTCAACACCCGCATATGAGTGTATCCATGTCCCTACCAAGGAAACGAACTCAACATTTTTTTATGGCTGCAGAGTATTCCATGGTGTATATGTGCCATATTTTCCCCATCCAGTCTATCATCAATAGGCATTTGGGTTGGTTCCAAGTCTTTGCTATTGTAAACAGTGCTGCAGTGACATTTGTCTGCATGTGTCCTTATAATAGAATGATTTATAATCCTTGGGATATATACCCAGTAATGGAATTGCTGGGTCAAATGAAATTTCTATTTCTAGGTCCTTAAGGAATCACAACACTGTCTTCCAAAATGGTTGAACTAATTTACACTCCCATCAATGGTGTAAAAGTGTTCCTATTTGTCCACATCCTCTCCAGAATCTGTTGTCTCCAGATTTTTTAATGATCACCATTCTAACTGGTATGAGATGGTGTCTCAGCATAGTTTTGATTTGCATTTCTCTAATGACCAGTGATGATGAGCATATTTTTATATGTTTCTTGGCCTCATATATGTCTTCTTTTGTAAAGTGTTCATATCCTTTGCATTGTCTCCGAGGCCTCTGTTCTGTTCCATTGATCTGTATCTCTGTTTTGGTACCAGTACCATGCTGTTTTGATTACTGTAGCCTGGTAGTATAGTTTGAAGTCAGGTAGTATAATACCTCCAACTTTGTTGCTTTTGCTTAGAATTGACTTGGCCATGCAGGCTCTCTTTTGGTTCCATATGAAGATTAAGGTGGTTTTTCCAGTTCTGTGAAGAACGTCATAGGTAGCTTGATGGGGATAGCATTGAATCTAAATTACTTTGGGCAGTATGGCCATTTTCACGATATTGATTCTTCCTAACAATGAGCACGTTATGTCTTTCCATCTGTTTGTGTCCTCTTATTTCATTGAGCAGTGGTTTGTAATTCTCCTTGAAGATATCCTTTACATTCTTTGCCAGTTGTATTCCTAGGTATTTTATTCTCTTTGTAGCAATTGTGAACGGCATTTCATTCTTGATTTGGCTGTCTTTAAGTCTTTTATTGGAATATAGGAATGCTTGTGATTTTTGCACGTGGATTTTGTATCCTGAGACTTTGCTGAAGTTGCTTATCAGTTTCAGGAGATTTTGCGCTGAGACAATGGGTGTCTTCTAAATATATAATCATGTCATCTGCAAATAGAGAAAATTTACTTCCTCCTTCTCTAATTGAATATCCTTTATTTCTTTTTCTTGCCTTATTGCTCTGGCCAGAACTTCCAATACTATATTGAATAGAAGTGGTGAGAGAGGGCATCCTTGTCTAGTGCCAGATTTCAAAGGGAATGCTTCCAGTTTTTGCCCATTCAGTATAACATTAGCTGTGGCTTTCTTGTAAATAGCTTTTATTATTTTGAGATACGTTCCATTGATACCTAGTTTATTGAGCGTTTTTAGCATAAAGAGCTGTTGAATTTTGTCACAGGCCTTCTCTGCATCTATTGAGATAATCATGTGGCTTTTGTCTTTCGTTCTGTTTAAGTGGTGAATTATGTTTATAGACTTGCATATGTTGAACCAGCCTTGCATCCCAGGATGAAGCCTACTTAATCGTGATGGATAAGCTTTTTGATGTGCTATTGCAATTGGTTTGTCAGTATTTTATTGAAGATTTTTGCATCTATGTTCATCATGAAGTTTTCTTTTCTTGTGAGTCTCTGCTAGGTTTTGATATCAGGATGATATTGTTCTCATAAAATGATATAGGAAGGATACCTTCTTTTTGTATTGTTTGGAATAGTTTCAGAAGGAATGGTACCAGCTCCTCTTTGTATGTCTGGTAGAATTTGGCTGTTAACCCATCTGGACCTGGGCTTTTTTGGTGGGTAGGCTATTAATTCCTGCCTCAACTTCAGCCCTTGTTATTGGCCTTTACAGGGTTTCAACTTCTTCCTGGATTAGGCTTTGGAGGGTGCAAGTGTCCAGGAATTTATCCATTTCTTCCAGGTTTACTGGTTTATGTGCATAGAGTTGTTTGTAGTAATGTCTGATGGTGGTTTCTATTTCTGTGGAATCTGTCATGGTATCCCCTTAACTTTTTTTATTGCATCTATTTGATTATTCTCTCTTTTCTTTTTTATTAATCTGGCCAGTGGTCTGTCTATTTTGTTGATCTTTCCAAAAAACCAGCTCCTGGATTTGTTGATTTTTTGACGGGTTTTTTTGTGTCTCTATCTCCTTCAGTTCTGCTCTGATCTTAGTTATTTCTTGTGTTCTGCTAGGTTTTGAGATTCTTTAATATTGCTCCTTTAGCTCTTTTAATTTTGACAACAGGGTGTCGATTTTAGATCTTTCCTTGCTTCTCATGTGGGCATTTATAGCTATATATTTTCCTCTAGACACAGCTTTAAATGTGTCCCAGAGATTCTGCTATGTTCTGTCTTTGTTCTCGTTGGTTTTGAAGAACATCTTTATTTCTGCCTTCATTTTATTGTTTATCCCGTCCATAGTTAAGAGCTAGTTATTCGGTTTCCACAAAGCTGTGCGGTTCTGAGTTAGTTTCTGAATTCTGAGTTCTAACTTGATTGCACTGTGGTCTGAGAGACTGTTTGTTATGATTTCCATTCTTTTGCATTTGCTGAGGAGTGATTTACTTCTAATTATGTGGTCAATTTTAGAGTAGGTGTGATGTGGTGCTGAGAAGAATGTATATTCTGTGGATTTGGGGTGGAGAATTCTGTAAATGTCTATTAGGTTTGCTTGGTCCAGGTCTGAGTTCAAGTCCTGGATATCCTTGTGAATTTTCTGTCTCGTTGATCTGTCTAATATTGACAGTAGAGTGTTAAAGTCTCCCACTATTATTGTGTAGGAGTCTAAGTCTCTTTGTAAGTCGTTAAGAACTTGCTTTATGCATCTGGGTGCTCCTGTAGTGGGTGCATATATATTTAGGATCATTAGCTTTTCTTGTTGCACTGATCTTTTTACCAGTATTTAATGTCCTTTGTCTCTTTTGATTTTTGTTGGTTTAAAATCTATTTTATCAGAGACTATGATTGCAACTCCTGCTTTTTTTTTTTTTTTCCTCTCCATTTGCTTGGTAGATCTTCCTCCAAATCCCTTTATTTTGAGCCTATGTGTATCCTTGCCTGTGACATGGGTTTCCTGGATACAGCACACTGATAGGTTTTGGCTTTTTATCCAATTTGCCAGTCTGTGTCTTTTAATTGGGACATTTAGCCCATTTACATTTAGGGTTAATATTGTTTTGTGTGAATGTGATCTGCATTTTGATGTTAGCTGGTTGTTTTTCCTGTTAGTTGATGAAGTTTCTTCATTGTGTCACTGCTCTTTACCATTTCGTACGTTTTTGGAGTGGCTGGCACTGGTTGTTCCTTTCTGTGTTTTCAGGAGCTTTCTATTCTTTCAGGAGCTCTTGTAAAGCAGGCCTGGTGGTGATGATGAAGTCTCTGAGTAATTGCTTGTTCATAAAGGATTTTATTTCTCCTTCACTTATGAAACTTAGTTTGGCTGGATATGAAATCCTAGGTTGAAAGTTCTTTTCTTTAAGGATGTTGAATATTGGACCCCACTCTCTTCTTGCTTGTAGGGTTTCTGCTGAGAGATCCGCTTTAATTTTTTTTCCGTAGCTGCCACAGGTGGTAATGTGCTGGGTCTCACCTTAAGCCATCAAGTCTATGGTTATTGGTGGAGGCTTTGTTGCAGCTGTGCTGGATATTTGAATGCCATATGGACCCTTCTGGTTTCAGTGGTAGTGGTGGTGAGCTATGCATGTTTGTCCTTAAGACCTGTAGCAGTATATGCTGGCATCTGTGTTGAGAGTGCTGGGCAGGGTGATTCTTAGGCCTCTGGGTGGCTTTCTTGCATGTCAATTGTAGTCATGCTATTCTAGGCAAGTGAGTGGGCTCCTGCATTCCTGGGCAGCAGATATACTATAGGCAATGGTGGTAGCAGTGGTGGTCAAGTCTTCTCCCACGTCCCAAGCACTGTCTTCTTGTGTTGGGAGTATTTGCAGAGGGTTATATGAGCTGGTCTCTGAGCCAGCAGGTTGCACTTGCAGGTAGAAACAAGCTGATGTGGTAGCAGCAGGGTGTTCATGCCTGACTTTTGTTCACCAGGAGAAGTCCTTAGGTGTCCAAGGCATTAGGATGGGCTATGAATCTCCCCGAAGCCTAGACCTCACACTCTGCCTTAGATAATGGAACAAAGCTGGTTGGAACTGGACTGAGCGAACCTGTGCTTGGGTCCGACAATAGCAAGTGCATGCATCAGCCATGACAGGTGTGGAGGCAATCCTAAGGCCCCTGGTAAAATGTTTGGGGGAGGGATAACCTGTGCTGAGGTCCTTCCACAAGGTGGGAGTGGGATGCTGGTACCATCTATCACAGCCTTGGCCAGCAAATTCAGGACCCTTCTCCTTCTCATGCCCCAATCCGAGCAAGCCTCCTTCCCCCATTCCAGCCAACCTTATACATCAGTCAGATGAGGCAGTTTTTGCCTCACTTTCAACCTAACACCAGGCCATAGGAGCACCTTCCCAGCTTGGAACCAAGCCTTCATGGCAAGTCTCCTCCTGCTTAGGTCCCAGGGGTTGCCTGGTTCCAGCACCAGTGGCTGAAGGCCAAGCCAGTCTCGCTTACCAGTCCTAGTGATAGAAGTTCATGACCTACTCAAGTGTCACTTTCAAAAGCCACAACCTGAGTCTCCCTAACAACCCAGGCTAAGGCCAATGGTTTCCAGAACCATGCACAGTTTGTTAAGAGCTAGGATTGAGAGTAGCGTTTTACTATAGGCACTTAGGTCTCAGAGAGGGGATGGAAATCAGGGAATGTTACCTCTTATAGTCTCCTAGCCACTCCTCAAGTCAGATTCAGATTGTGGGATTGTCAATTCTGTGGCGGGGATTATTCAACAGTGGGAAAGTGGACCATAGGAAGATAGTCATTCACCCTCTCCCTTATTGAGGATTTTCTTTTGGTTCCTAGCTGGTCCTAGAGGGTAGCAATAACAATAATTTTTCATTAACATTTTCTAAAACCAGATCTAAGCTCTTTCATGCCTATCAATACCCGCTGTTTTCAGAAAAAGTGGTTTTTGCTTTAGAGGATGTGATACTGTGATAAGACAAGATATATATATATATTTTTCCATTCCCAGTTCTTGATGCAGAGTTCC